AAGCTCAGCGGCCATGGCTCACGGGCCCAGCCGCTCCGCGGCATGCGGGATCCTCCCAGACCGGGGCACGAACCCGTATCCCCTGCATCGGCAGGCGGACTCTCAACCACTGCACCACCAGGGAGGCCCCAAACAGTATATTGATCAAGATTCTGTGAGTGCATGCCTATGCACCCATTCTGTATGTGTATACATCTAAATTACGCTTTGGGTAATTAGGAGAACATTTCATAGAATTTTTACATAAAATTCATGTTATAAAATTTAGAACAAAAACTTTATATTGAATTTAATCTTGTCATATTTGATGCAGTGAATGAACTAAGTAGACTTTCGGTGTGGGAGTAAAAATGCCTACTTAGCAACACTTAATTTTTTTTTTTATGGCAATGCTTTATAAGTTTCGATGGGTATGGGTGAAGAAGTGAATTTTAAAAATTGACTAGTAAGGTATTAATGTGTCTCAAATCATAAGTTTGTCCTAGTAATGCAGGCTACGTCGTATTGATCCAGCATTAATTTGAGTAGTCATTAAGCAAATATTAGTTGTAAAAGAAACCAGAGAAAATTCAAATGAGTAAGTAACCAAAAACACTAGAAAATCAACTGAAAGTTATGTCAGTTTTGGTAAAAGATCGGTCATTTTGCCTTTAAAGGCAATAGTTATTTGTTATGAAAATAAAAGACATACAGTACTTTCTAGGTAAAATTTCATCATTTTAAAAAGCTCTACATCTTCTAATAAACATTTAAATGTTTTTTAACCCTCCTTTTAATTTCCAAAATTTATTTTTTCTTCTCATTTTTTAAGGATTGTTTGATGATAGGTCTGCATACTTGTGGTGATCTTGCTCCAAATACTCTGCGAATATTTACTTCCAAGTCTGAAATCAAGGGAGTTTGCAGTGTGGGTTGTTGCTACCACCTCTTATCTGAAGAGTTTGAAAACCCACATAAAGGTGCAAGTTCTTCATATCCCATAATTTTATTTATTTGAGCATAATGGCTGCTTTGTATTTCTCCTTTTGTTGTTGTTGACCTTATTGTCACTTTGAATTAGCATTTGAGATAATATCTGATATTCTTGCAATATTAGAAATGTTACATCAAATGAAATTTGATGAACTATCACTTGCGTTGTATTTTATTATAGATTTTTTAGTCATAGTATGGTCTTAATGAATGCCGAAAACTGAAAATATGTGAAATTTTTGTGTGTTGTATTTTTAGAGAACTTCTGTTTAAAAATATTTGTAAGATATACATTTACTACGGTAGTAAAGCTATTTTGTCATAAATATAGAATGGGCAAGGTTTGTTTTCATTTCCAAAGCCTTCTCAATTTTGTAACGAATATTGATACTTGTCCCCTCAAAAAGTTTCTTACTGTAGTTTGAAGGGTCAAAATAGTATGATTTTAAAAAGCTAGAAAACTGTGCAATTGTGTGAAAACTGTGCTCCCTGGGCTGAGAAGGTGCCTGAGGAGCAAAGTACAGAGTACGATGACAGTACTGAAAGCACCTACAACCCTTCATCCAGAGCAGCTCCTGAAATTCCTCTCTTTGATCCATTTTATATGTTATATCTCTTATTAGACACATGGTTTCAAAACCACTGGTTCAGGTTAGATGGTTATCTATTAATATTAGCAGTTCTCTTTTCTGTTAGTTTAGTGTTTGTCAACATCCAGTGTCCCTTGCTAAGAATTTTTAGGTCAGGAAGTTGTGTGAATATAGATGGTATTGCTTGCTCTTTTTCTCAATTTTAAAACCCAGATGACTGTAAAAATTTGATTATTTGTCATTTAGTCATTTCCAACAGGTAAAAATGATGATTGTATGATTCTACTGAAAATTGCCTGGGTGAAACAAGTCATCCTTAAAACTGGCAAAGGTTTTTGGGGAAAAGAGTTAATTGAATTTGAATTTTTTATGTCAGGGTTCTAAAAAGTATCTTTTAGGAAAAGTACACAGAAGTAAAATTGTCAATATATAGAGATACACAGAGTGAGAGAAAGAAAGCAAATTGGCAAAAAGTTAACAATAGTTTAATTTAAGTGAAGAATATATGTTTGTCATGCCATTATTTCCAACTTTTCTCTGAGTAAAAAAATTTTCAAGATAAAAATTGGGGGGAAAAGTGAACCTAAAAAATTATTTATTCTAAAGTATATACCCAAATATTTACATTACTTTTTAGCCCTTTTTGTGCATCTTTCCTAAAAGAAATGAAAAAAAAAACTTTAATACAATCACAGTTTTACAGCTTTTAAAATATTAAATGCAAAGTGTTTTCCTGGATCAGCAAGCATAAAATTTTGGGTAGGGAAGTTTTTGTTCTTAGTTCAAGAGCTTCCTGTTCTATAGGTACAATGAAATGGGTTTTTTTTAATAATTGGCTTAGTTCAGGGTAGGTGTAGCCACTTGGTGTGTCTTTCAATTCAGAGATACTGTCTTACAGTGTAAGATCTTTAATTTCAGTTGCCCGCTTCCTTCTTTCACTTTATCATCATGCCCCCGCAAATGCCTTCCCCTTCCAAAGGGCCTCCCTCTCCTCTTTAGGTGACACATCTTAAGTCTGCCAGCTCTGGTCGGGCTGGACCCTTGCAGCCATTGCTCAGTATCGTCAGGTCTCAGACCTAATCTCTGTACTTTACACCATGAGTGGGATCCTCTCTTTTGGCAGCGTGCTCTGTTCTCTGTCACACACATTTTTCTACATCTGACTCTCCTTCTGGAGTGATCCCCAGAGCTGGTTCTGCTGGCTTGAGATGTTTATTTCTTCACTTCCATTTAAATCAAAATGCGTAGTGTACATGTGGCTTATGAGTAATTTTATCTATTCTCTGGTTTTTGTTGAGTATGTAAAGAAATTCAGATTTAAGTGGCTATCGTTATTTTATGACAACCAGGAAATGTCATTGGTACATTTTTCATCTGATGTCTGGTTCTTCAGTTCTGTTCTTTAAGGGAGTTGGCAGAAGCTACTTGCCAGAGTAGGAAAAAAATTAAGAGAGTGACCAGTTGCTCCTGTGCCTGTCCATTTTCTGTCAGTCTTTAGGTACCTTTTTTTCCCCTAGTCAAATAGTTGTTTAATATTCTTAATTATACTTATTTATAATGTATTTTAATAAACTGTAAACAGACATAAGGGAAGATATATATTTTTAGAGCTAAGTAAAAAGATTAGAGACCTTTGGGTTATGAGACCACTTTAGTTAACTTTTCTAACACACTATTGCATTAAATTGTTTAGAAGAATTTATTGACCAGGTGTTCAGACTGAAATGAGAAATATCTTTGAATAAGGCATGTTCAATAGAGAGGCCTTCGCACAATCTGAAGGAAGAAGGGTTAGTGCATCCACACCTTCAGCCTCTCCCACTTCGTTTCTGCCATGGAAAGATTTGATAGATTTATGAGTAGAGTGCAGACACTAGTTTTTATTCACTTTTGTATCTTCAGAACTAAGCACATTGCCTCAAACATGGTCCATGTTGATCAATGTTTGTACAATGTGTGTTGAATAGATAATTGAGTGGCAGTTACCTTGTTCACTGCATCGATAGGATGACTTTGGGCCCAGGACTCAGGCAAGAAAAAGTGTTGGAAAGGTTTGTTAATGATAGTGACTGGCAGCTACAAACTCTCATTTTCCCTTCTTACAGGCAGAGTTAATTCATGGAAAGCCCTTCCTGTCAAAAATATCTTAACCATTGAGAATCATTGAGATTATCAGGTAAACAATACTAAGCTTAAGTGGTTAAAGCTCATAGTAATACCTTAATGTTATTTGATTTCCTCATAAATACCTGAAAAGAACAGAGGGTTGGGAACCTTGCTTGTCAGAAAAGCAAAGAATAAGCAGGAAGAAACAGAACTCAGTGATATGATGAATTAGGTGAAGATGTATGCAATGTGAGTACCTTCAGATACTTTGGAAGGAAAGAGTTGGAAAGCCAAGAGATAGGAGAAAAATAAGTGATAGGAATAACAAAAGCAACCTTGGTTCATGTTGCAGTTTTGCCTAGCTTTGGACTGCCACATTTTCTCATCTCAAAAACCAGATGGCAAAAGTCACTCGCTTCTCTCTTCCTCACACCCCTATTTCCATTTTGCTTGCCTTATCTTGGCTATAGTAAAAGGAGAGAAGATATGAACCATCTCCTGCAATTTTTATAACAGTGTTTCTCAACTCTGGCTGCCCAGTTGGATCGTGACAGTTTCGGTGTCTAGATGCCTGGGACCCACTTCTGACCTTCTAATGTATAACCTCTAAGGATGGGATTTGAATATAAGTATTTTTAAGAAGCACTATAGGTAATTCTGATGAACAGCATCGTTGAAAACAAGTGTTTGTTATGGTTCCTAAGAAGACAGAATTTTAGAAGATGTTCTGTAGAAATATATTCAAGGTTATTTGTAGTTATTTTAACCTCTCCCATGCAGAGACTTAGGTGGACTCTGCTCATGTGCTCGTTTGCATATCCAAACCAAAGGCTGAACCCAGAAGTGTCCAGTAGGGTATATCAGAGTCTAGAGTGCAAAGTAATTAACCGCCCCCTCCGCAAAAGTCCTTGAAGCGTAGAGCTCAGAGTGAAAACCCGGGGAAACCAAACATAGAGGGCATAAATGCACAATAAAGTTAAGCTTTAGAAACTAGACAAAATCAAGGGGAAAAGTGTAGAACAAGAACAGAATGTCCAAGATAATTATTATGAGCACCACTAGAATTTTGATAGCTTAACTTTACTGATGAGCAGTGATGTCTGTGTGTGTGTGAAGGCAGACAACAGCAGTTTGTTCTTGTCTATTTAGCAGTGACTGTTTGCAAAGATGGAATATGGATGTGGTCTTATTTTGTATATACAGCATATGCTATATAGTCCTAGTATTCCTTGCTAAAATAGAAATCCACCACTGTACAGTTTGATCATCATATTAAAATAACTAACTTATAGGACAAGGTGTTCACATGGACAAGGTTAGAGTATTTCCTGTCATATGTCTAGGACTAGGTTCCATGGAGTTATATTTCTGAATAATCAAGTATGGCATGTGTCTCTCCCTTCATATCTTACACACCTGCCTCTAAACCTCAGTTTGTTTGCACAGCTGTTTTTAAGTTTGGATTGGGGAAGTGTTGCCCTTTGGGATGTAAATTTGAGTTATTAATAGTCCAACATAGTACAGTAGAAAAGTCTGGTATGTACCCTGCAACTTTTTATGATGATGTGTACTATGTAAACAATATGTGTTTTACATGAATATGTTTACCCAGTATGCTGTGGTAGACCATAGAGGTGGTCTGTCATGAATGTTAATTTTCAAAAATACCTCAAAACTCTCTGAGCAATTATGAATACCAAAGTTCTACCATATGTTTTAAAAACTGCTTTAAATATTTATACATTATAAGCCAGTAGTTCCTAGGAGAACACGAAATACCAGAAACAGTATTATTTAATGCAGTACTTTATAGAATATATATGTTTTCCCAAGCTTGACTTGTTTCAGTGTTTTGTCTTAATATTGATTATCATTATCATAATTAATTTGAAATATTGATATTATTTCTTCCCCTTGAAGTTTGAGAGAGAACTTCTTTTGGTTGTTTTTCCCATAAAGGTAGAAACATGCTGAGGAAACACTACTGGTTACCTATCCAGATCCACATCTCTCTTCTTCCTTGCTAACTGAACTATGATTTTGTTCAAGCATCAGTTATTAGGAAGATTGAGCCCCGCTATAGCCTCAGAAATACGTGACTCTCAATCTAAATTAGTTATGGTAATTCCATTTATTTAGGAAAGGATATGAGACACAGTTCTTATCAATGAGGAGCATATCTACTAGAGAGTTTCCCAGGAATTTTTTTTTTTTCTGTTAAAAGTGAACACAAGACAGAAGCAGCGCTTTTTTTCTGCCTCTGGACTTTATCATCTGTATGTGTTTTTTCA